AGTAATATACTAGCTAAATTAGTAGAACAAGAGAAAAGAGAAGTTCTACTAAGAAACTATCTATAGCTAAAATAACTGAAAATAATCAGGTGACTTTTCTTGGCATGATCAGGTGGTTGTGGCACAGTAAGTCACATGTGACGCAGTATGTGGTGCAGCAACGATCTGTGAGATAAAAGATAAATATACTATAATTATTAATAACTAATAACTAATCTAATATTGTTACATAAGCTAAAGAGAGATAATTTGATCAAAATTATTACAAATAATTTAAAATTATAATTAATTAATAATAAGAAGTCTAATATAAATTACCTGATTTTTTGAAATAAATAAATAAATTAGTTAAGTTATTAGATTTATTTTTAATTAATATAATATATTTATATATAAATATAAAATATTAGATATTAATAAATAAATAAATAAATAAATAATATTTTATATTAAATAAAATTATCTAATTTATATTAAGCCTCTAATAATAATGATTATAATTAAAACTATTCTATTTAAGCTAATTCTTATATATAATAATTAAATAAAACTTCTAATTAATAAATCTGTAAAATTTATAAATTTAAATATTTTCTAATCTAAATAATTTTTTTATATTTAATATATATATTATTTGAATTTGTTTTACTCTTAATTCATCTATATATATATATATAATCTATATAAAAAATAAAATAATTAATTTTTTGAAAATTTAACTATTTTTTTTTAAGAAAAAGAAAAAATCTATAATAATTTTATAATATTTTTTAATGAAGTTATATAAATAATATTTAGCAAATTCATTATTAACAACTATATAATCTTGAATATAATTTAGAATACTAATAATATATCAAAGAATAATAGTATTCAGAAGATTTTTCCAATTTTTCTTTATCAATATTGTAAAATCTTCAATAATACCAGATTTTTTTGCATAATCAATTTTTTAACTCATTTTCAATAGTTTACTTAATTTGATAGTTGGAAAACAAAGTTCATTATAAATATTATTTAATATATGCTTCAGATTATTATCCTATTGAAAATTCAATGCCAATATCTATACAAATCAGCTATATTAATATACAAAAAATTTTGTGATGTAAATAATGATTCATATTTTTTATAAATATATATATTTCAATCTTTATGCATACACAGATTGCTCCCCAATATGAAGCTTTAATGGATACTTACCATTGATACAATAGTTTTTCAGAACATGCTCACCAAGCAGGTATTACATAAATAATTGCAAGATTGTTTCATCAGAAAAAATGACTTTGCACCAGTTATAATTAAGATAATTTTGTGTTCATTGAAGACAGTTTGCTTTTGCTAGTGGAATGAGAAGAGGAACACATTAGGACAAGACTATAACATAACCAAGCCTATGAAGTTCATCACGAATAGCTTGTAAGTCTGCCTCAAATACTATATATGTTTTTTCAAGTCATACTTTAATCTGCTGTAAAATAATAATTTCCATTTATCAGTTTTCCAATTTGGCAGCGCATTTCAGGAGAAATTTGCATGGGCAGCCAGGACGATGAGTTTTGGAAATTTGACCATTTTTTCAAAGAGATGCCAGTTTTTGTAAATTTCTGCAGAATAGTGGCAACCATTTCGCTGCGTAAATATTTAAATTATGTTGTGAACTGTTGTTAAACAGTAACTTTTCTTTCCATTTTTAGAATATTATTATTTTATGGTTTTTTTATTATTTTTATGGTATAAATTTTCCTTCATTTTTCTCTCGTGGAGCTCCTTATATAATAATTTTTCTTCGATAATCTTTCCCACAAATTATCACATCAAATTTTCTTTCAATATAATTTCTTTCATAAAATATACAATAAATTATCTGTATAAACTAACAAAGTTGCGTAAAGTTAAATAAAGTGAGCTTTAAAGCTCTAATTTATATGATTGCTTTAATTGTGTAAAATTGCCTTTATATAATTACCTTAACCCACTGATACCCGTGAATACCCGTTAAATGATTGATGGTTAGGTCCTTTAGACCGGAAAAGACGTACGATTATTGTGATTGCATTTGATGTACCGATCGATACATGTAGTTAGAGTTTACGGTTTTTGACTAAACAATAAAAAGCAACGTTTGCATTAATAGTTTGTTTAGAAACTCGTGAGATAGTCAAATAGCATTTTAGATAAAAGAATTACAAGTTACAATTACCTTTATATTCGTTAACTCCCCTAAAAACCCGATATCCGAGGATATCTGTACAGTGCATTAGATGCCATAAATCCCTATCTCACCCAGAATTAATCGGCGTAACACTGTCCCATTCAACCAGGCTGCTTTATAAATTGTCCTTTTGAAAGATATTTAACGCTACAAATCTTTCAAAGGATATTTTATCTTTTTTAATTTTATTGTATTCTTTTTATTAGATTTATCGATATTTTATCCTTCAAATTCATAAATCCGTTTGTGATATTTGAAAGATCCAGAGTCGATAATTTACTACATATGACATTTGCTGCATTGAGTATTCGATTCTAACTTTGAGTTCACTTTATAAAATTGCGTTTATATCGATATATAAACATGGATATTTGAAAAAAACGGGGTGACCTTTATCTATCATGCAACATTACCGCAAACCCACTATACTATGCAGACATATATTAAATTATTTACCATATATCGAACTTCAATATAAACACTCATCTTCGTATACAATAGAACCTCCGTGTCTTAATCAAGCTACACCATGGTATAGAATGTAACAGACCTGGGATGGTTTATGCCACGAATTACGGTACATGTATAGTTAATATCTTATTCTCTATAAATCAAGTTATCATTATAAACTTACAATTTGAAGAAAATTCTTAACATGAATTATTTATTTTTTATTCTACTATGGCTACTGTGAATTTCTTCAAATGTGCATACGTATGTATTGAATAAACCAATAGACACAAAAATTCCAAGTAACTCTAATTTTTTTCTAAAATTCTATTAACGGCAATGTTTTACAAAAAGAAATCGGGAAGTTATCAAACCTCAAAACTAATTGAATAAAGTCTCCTTTTTCAAGATGAAAGTTTGAAATTATAATAATGTCAAATCGATCATATCAAAAATAGAATTTTGAACAACACTATAAAAATATTCGACAAATATTCCTCCAATTTTCAATAAATACCTAAAAGAGTAGGCAATGAATTATATACAAAACGGTTGCTATTTTTGTTTATGTTAGTCATCATAAATGAAAAATAGGCAAATGCGCGCATAGTCACTATGCGTACTATGCGCATAGTATATACACGCATAATGATCTACATGTACATATATAGTAATCAAATACGCGACGCGAATTCATAAAAACTAATGATGATTTTATATTCTATAACTATTATAAAATGTTCCCATATAGAAGCCATAATGATACAACAATGAAGATGTAGATGTTATCATTATCGTTATACGTATGTTCTGTATAAATGCCTTAATTGGTGATGATTTATGAACTTAACCATATGCATAATTGTGTATGGGCATTGTTAGTAACTATGCGCATAGGCACATCTCTAATAAAGAGTAAAAACGCATATATGTACTAGAATGTTAATGCTAAAAATTATTATCAAAAAACCATCTAACTATTATTATCAAATTTAATTTCTTTTATCTGATTTATTCCTCATCTTTACTAGTTGCTCCTCAATTCTTTCTAATACAGATGATGTTATCGGCCGATTTTCAGGTCTTCGATCCCAGCATTCTTTATAAAGTTTCACATAATCACCTTCGGTTTCCGAATTTGGTGTTTCTCTTAGCCCATTTTTTATCGAATTTGCGAGTGCAACATCGAATTGCCATCCTTCAAAAGCACATTTGCCATGCGGATTCGCAATTTCCCATAAAATAACGCCAAATGAATAGATATCTGAACGTGTATCAAGCGGATATTTACCATCAAAAAGACGTTCTGGTTCAATATAAGGTATAATCCCAAATACTCCATTATTGGTTAAAGTACTTGCATTAGCAATTCGCGACATTCCAAAATCGGTCAATTTGGCGATCCCTTTTTGCACTAGGATGTTTTTCGAATGCTAGATATAAAAAGATAAATTTAATAATTTTCTTATGAAAATGTCATGCTTTATTTATTTAACTTACAAGATCTCTATGTACAATTCCTTCTTTATGAAGTATATGCAATCCTATAGTTACTTGGCAAGCCAATTGAAGTCTGTTATTCCAAGTTAATGTTTGACATTCTCTCTTTAGATATTTTCGCAAGTCACCCCCATCAGCATATTCTTGAATTAGAATATAATCTGAAGTTTGAGGATCTTTTTATATTAAAGTGAATGAGTTTTTCATGATAATAGGAATTAATAGTTATAATCAATAAAATACCTTGACTAATAGCCAAAAAACGAATCACATACGGACAATAATACATTTTCTTATTTATTTTAAGCTGTGGAATTTAAAATTTCTCAATATAATTATTAACTACAGAATAGTGGTTTGAATTTATTCTTATGCTTACCTCATTAACAAACGATCTCCAAAATTTATTTTCGTTTTCCGATATATTTAGTCTTTTGCAAACGATTTTTTCACGCAGATCTTTCCAATAGGCAGTAGTCACAATTCCAAAACTACCCCCTGAAAGCTTTTTTTCGTTTTCAATTTCTTCAATTTTAATAATTTTGATGAGATCGAATTTTAAACATTCGTGCAACCATTTTTGGTATTTATTCATTTTTTTGTTATCCATAACTTCAATCATATTTTCAAAACAATAATATTATTAATAAAAATGATATCAATATTGTACTACAATATCCAAATATATTTAAAATATTCATTTACATCTATAACAAAACGTTACCCACGTGAGCTGAATTCTTGGTCTTTTGAATTGAGATAATTTGATTGCCTAGCAGTTTTGGTCTTTTTACGAATGACTTTGTTATGCATGGTCTCGCTTGTTATTACAGCTGGCCAAAGGATTCGCTTCTTTTTCGCAGGGCTTGTTTCTTTTCTAGCCATAGATTTTGCAATAACTTGAGCTGCATCTCGAAACACGACTTTGGCATCTGCAGGCTTTGTTTTCCAGTTTTTCGAAGCTAGCCGAGAGATCTCCACAGCTTGCAAATTAAGACCGGATGAGTGTAACTCTTTCACCAATAGCTGTCGATATATAAAAAAACTATTTGGTGGCGTGCGACATTCTTTTTTGTTCACATATTCGGTGATAAGCTTCTGCAAACGATCACCTGATGGAGTTGCGACCTCAAATTCGAATATATTATTTTCTACCATAATTATTAAAAGAAACTTATTGACAGAAATGCACACGAACGAATGTCTTATATATAAAACGATATCAAGATGTCGTGTTATGCTATTGCATACTTTGCATAAAAACATGTACTATTATATTATTTTTACATGTATATAATCTATATAACAAATACATGTTGATGTCGTGTTATGCTATTGCATACTTTGCATAAAATATGTACTATTATATTATTATTACATGTATATAATCTATATAATAAATACATGTTGATATATGTATTTAACTATATAATAGTTTTTTGTATTTTTTGCAAATACGATAATATATATATATATATAATATGCAATCTTGTATCTATAAAACCAAGGAAATTCAAAGCATTTTATTCTACAAATAAAGTACGGAAAAAGGACGGAAAAATTATAGCATTTTTCGAGATCAGGAAAAACACAATGTTAAAAGAGGTTGCGTGACTTGTATGGAGGTCAAATATCTTATTCTTCATGGGGAACATGACTGCATAAAAGAAAAGACACGATAGTATTTCTAAAAAAGTTCCGCAAAAGAATAGAACTTAAGGAACCGCTTCGTTGAAATTCTTGATTTTTACATTGAACTTGAGAATTGAAAATTCACTAAACTACTTTAGCATTATATTCTTCTTACATGATTAACTGCTGAGACGATTGTCAATTTGGTTCAGAAACGCATTACGAAAAAAGCAAAAAACCCAAAAGCAAGATTTGTCATTTTTATAGATAAGAAATCAAAAGGAGTGTAGTGTTTAAGGAAGTTATTAAATATATCAAGAATAACTATAAGTGTATTATTTTTTTGATTTGATACATGTTCATAACCTTTTAATTATCCATGCATGCAAATGTTCATGTATCTGCATGCTTATTATTACGATAAATAAAATAAAATGCGATGTAAGGAGGCGTATAGTACAACTTTATTACTTTTGTTGTGTTACGATATCGATATTTATCGGGATAAAACTTCTTCGATTATGTCATTCTTTTAATAATATACTTAATAAAGTAGTTTTACGAGACATGTGATTTAAATTTTGTGTTGCGCGAGATTAATCGTTAAATTCTAGTTTAAACATTTCATTAAAATCCTTTTTTTTGTATGTATGTATCAAAAGGAAAGGTGAAATACCTGTTTGTTCATCTAAAATTTGGTTTAATGCATTCTTGTAGTATCGTAAAGTGGATAGGTTTAATATAGTGTGTAATCACATTTAATAATCTGAATTTTTAACATACACATTTAAAAAACTAATACATGCAATATGGCATGCATGTAGTCGTTCAATAACACTTTGATTTACATGTATAGTACAATCAATTTCCTCGTGTTTCTTCTTGAAATGACGCGCTTACAGAGGAACGTGCCGGCCTGTCATATTAAGCTTTTGACAAACAATTAATTTTGATTGGTTTGAGTATTTATACATGTATTTTTTATCCTATATCTCTAGTAACTATACTAATAATATATTCACTTTACCTATATAATCGTGTCTATACTAATACTAATGCGGAACATCTAAATCTTCCTGCACATAAACTCAATCACGTCATAACATAATTGGTCCAAACAGACAGATTGTCATTTTAGAAGTTATTAAAAAGTCAAATAAAGCAACTCGAATCTTATTGACCCTTTACCATAGTAATCGAAATACATTTGTGGCATTACATGCATCTCGATTGTTTGATTAAAATTATGACTTAAGTCACACAATTTGTGTCTAGTTCAGGATGTGCTATTTTATAGATCTGAGAACTGTAGGCAACGTGTAAAATTTATTTCTCGCGAGCAATCAAACATCTTTTTTTGTCGATTTATTCTTTCACATCGAACTAATGATTTTTTTTGCTTATAAAACCTGGAAATTTACGTTTACGTCAATTTTGAATTTTTCTTTTTGGAATTTTGACAGGTTCCCAAAGAAAAAAAATGAATAAAGATTCACGGACATTTCTTGTAAAAATCAATTTCTCAATTGATATCCTTGTGGTTTGAATAGTTTACATAATATTTTGTATGAAAATGATGTACGCATTTCATAGCATGAATTACATCAATATTTAATATTCTTTGAATGGATAATAAACAATCATAATACAAAGTAGCCCTTTTTAAGGCTTAATTTTTAGTAAAGCAAATTATTTTTCTATATATTGAGTAAATTTTTTCTTAATTTATGCTTTCCTAGCATAAATTATATCGTTTTGGAACACGAAAGGCGATTCAAAATATTTAAATTTAAAAATAATCACTTAAATTAAATATTATAATTAAGAAAGTTTCGAGAAATTAACAAAATAATAGTTTAATAAGTTTTCTGAATAAATTATTTTATTGATAGTTTTGTAAATGAGTAATTTTGTAAATGAGATTTCAAATAATTTGATAAATAAGGAACTAGACAATTCTCATTATTTAAGGAAAAAATAATGTTTCACAAAATTTTTCAATGGCTAACATGATTAATTTCGCATACTTATTGAAGCTTGTATTTCATTTTGATGTTAACGTAATTCCTCTCCATCTAGTAGTAGACCGCCAAGATTAACCATCCGGAACTCCATTTGAATACGCTTACAAGATATATATATATTATATTCACCTGTTATAATCTCGTATATTGTCACTCCAAATCTATAAATACAGATTAACTCCTCTAAATGTACATCGGGGCCACTGTATAATATGCATTTAGAGGAGTTTATATAAAACATGTATTTAGAGACTAAGTCACAGCTATATGCAATTATGCATTTAGAGGATATTTTTAAAAAATACTGGCCAAAAAACTTGAAGAAGCAATACTCAAAATTTATAATCAACTATCTAATAATAACACCCTACGGGAAAAATGTGTCCGGAATTTTAATTGATTCATACGGGATATTACGTTACACATATGGGATTTTACGTA